TCTCCCAGAGCAGGACAGGTCTTGAACATGACATGCCAGCACCTGTGTTTCTTGGCCCAACTGTCCATGTCAGAAGTTCAAGTCACAATGCAACGTCTAGAGGATTTGGGAGGTGAAGGTCCTGGGGAATTAGAGTGTTTGATAGGAAGCGGGATGAGAAAAGGAGCTTAGGGGTAAATTCTGGTCTGGGGAGATGTTGGGAAAAAGTTCTCATCTAAATACTAGCAATCAAAGGCAAATACATCTGTATTTGAGAAACAGAGAGAAACTGAGAGAGAAACAGAGAGGAGGTATGCAAAACGTTTAAACACATACTATACAAGGCAAGGAGGCCTTATTAGATCAAAAGTGAAGGATTACCTTTTAAAAAATACAATAAAACAAATTAAATTGCCAAAAGTGTGAGATTTTCAAAGCAGGAGCAGGCTGGAAAGAGCTTTCACTGGCATCTAGTGGTATGTTGCAGAGTCACTGCAGCTGATGGCACAGCTTCACTTCCAAAGTGGGTTTCCCCGGGACAGCAGAAGCTGTTCAGACTGGCAGGTCACCACTTCCAAACTGGGCTTAGAAGAGGCCAGGCTATTTCTGCACATAGCCTAACCCTGCCCTGACAGCTCGGTCTAAGAAGTCCATTTGGGCCTGAGCATAATGTACTCTGAGTCTATATTTGACTGCACAGGCAAAACCTTGAGGTCATACCAAGGCATATTTGATCTCTTATTTTCTTGGACTTTGGGGCTCTATAAGAGTCTGAGAGACAGCAGGCAGATCTGGTCTGTTTGAAGAAGAGGGTGAGCTAATGGAGGCACTCACCTGCGAAAATGCAGATGTCAGTGGAGGGAAACAGGATCTCTGAGAACACAAGTCATCTGCCCTACTAGAAGCATCCACTTTAGAATAAGCTAAATTGTGTCCCAGTGGACAAACGGACACTGACACAGCTGAAATGGCATGATCCTGCCACCTTACAGCAGATCCCTCTGGCAGAAAAGGAGTCACACAAATGGTCCCCACCAGTTTCTCTGTGTGTGTCCCTCATCCATGACTGTCTCAATCCCACTCCCTCCATGGTGCCACACACCAAGATGGGGCTGACTGATGGAACTGCTGACTGGCACCATCCGCAGTGTTGGTATTATGGAAATAGGAAGGATGGAAAAGCGGAGACGTGTTCCCTAAAGGCATCCTGCACATGAGGAATCTCCCTCAGCATGCTTGGGGTCTACTGTTGCTTAACACTGTGGTCCCTGCTGTCTGTCTGGGGCTGTGGCATCTTCATGCATCAAAGCAGAAGACCTTCAGTAAGGCAAACTGAATAAGGCTTGGGTATCTTCTGCTGTGCATGTACTGCTATAAAAGTGGTTAGATTTGTGTGGCTTTTTCTTTCACTGGGCTGGGACACAAGCTGGACTGTAGGTGCACCCCAGTGCTGGTGCTGCTGCCCCATACTGCTGGCTTGTACTGGGGTAGGAAATACATCAGCAGACTTTATCCAAGGCAGATATAGTGTGTAAACTAGGTCTGAACTCCAGCAACCCTGTAACCTTGAACTTCCTTGCATGATTTGAGCCAGGTACCTCACCACCTCCTGCATCAGTTTCCCTAAATCAAAGTGGAGGAGAACATTATGTTTGCAGCCTTGTGCCATATTTAGGACACAATAGGAGGTGCTGGCTTATGCAGGAATGAGTGTTATTATCCAACCTCAGAGGCATGGGACAGCCCTAACCCCTGCTCCAGGAAAGAGGTTTGCAGAAGCAGCTTTCCACCATGCACATGCTCCTAAAACTCCCTCAGAGAAGCATCCTGGGCTAGAGCTTCATGCTGAGTCTCTAAGCCTCATTGTACAGGGCAGATCCAGTTCTTGCTGTACTCTATGAGGTCCTGCTGGGACACAGCCTTTCCCAGGTGGTGCTCAATCACTGCTAAATCAAGTCCATATGCCTCAGTGTCCACCCTTGTCAAATCTGCATACCAATTTTGTGCTTTCACTGAGCAGTAAAAGGGATCCTTTCCCGGTATCTAGGCACCAGCCTTGGTTGCTACCTCCCCTCAGGGGGATTGCAAGCTGCTGCAGACACAGAAATATTCCCTGAAATGCATCTTTCCTCTCATGACTGCTCCTGGAGCAAGTCCCAGACAATCGGGCTGGGAGGGAAAAAGGAAGCTTGCAACACTGTGGGATGTTTTCCTGCCCACAACAATAAAAAGAAAACGATCTCAGCTGGCACAGGCAGAAATAGGCTGGTCCTGACCTACCGTCTGCCAGGGCAGAGAGCGCAGGGTGGGGGACCAGAACTGCTGGGGAGAACTACAATTCCCAGCAGGCAGTGCGAGCCGGGGACCCTTCCAGCTTCCCACCAATGTAGCGCTGCAGAAGAGAGGCATGTCAGGGAGAGATTCTCTTCCTCTTCTTTCCTACGCTCCCGCTAACACCTTGGCAGTGGCGTGAAAATCCTTCCAGCTGGCATGAGATGCTGAGAACATCTCCCCTGCCCCTTCAACCTTTGCTCTTTGTCTTTGTTTCGCTTCACCCTTCCTCCGGTAGCTCTCACTGCGCTGGCCACAGACTTCCTTTAGGTCAGACTAGCTGGGGCTGCAACGCAACTTGCAGCCGAGTCACAAACACTGCTGTGCCACTGAGACTGCCCCGGAGGAGAGCAATGCCAGACAGAGGTTGATGGCCTGCTCAGGTAAGATGCTTTCGGCCAACTGCCCTTCATTGGTCTGTGTAGCCCAAAGAAAAGACGAAGCAACCCCCTGGGATCTGGTTCTGCCCTGGATTCAATCGCTGAGCCCATGGGGATTGCAGAGCTGGAAGTAAACGTGGGATTTGGATCTGTAGGGTCTGGATACTTTTTAAAAATAAAAGGAATAATGTAAGCAGGAATTTCTCCTTTTACTCTGACCTGAATTCAGAGATTTGTGGCTTTTTGCCAAAATCCAGAGGCAACTGAAATGCTGCTGCTGGTGAGATGTTTTCTCTAAGGGACTGGTGTGAGCATCTGTGGTGAGGAGAGAGGCTGTGGACAGGGCAGCAAGCCCATTACCCCTTCACCTGCAGCTGCACCTGAATATACTCCCCAGTAAGGGAGTTTTGACCTCTGTCAATAAAAAATACACTGTTGAACTTTACGGAGTCCTCTTTCCAGCCTGGCTGCAGCTGAGGCTTTGCCTGCTGAATTAAAACCTGCTCTAGACGTCACATAGCTGCTCTCCCACCCAGGGAGAAGAAGTCCTGCCCCACCCTCACAGTCCTCCCCTTGCACTAGCAAACATTAAACCTTGTTGGTGCTCCAAGTGGGTGTGTATTGGCCTTCCTGGCTCAGTATAACTTTGCAGGTACTTGTTTTGGGGCGCTTTTTAATAGTTGGTTTTGTTTTCCTGTGGTACCTCTGTACTAGCACAGGGAGTTTAGCACTCTTGTGCTTCAGTGGTAGCTCTTACCTGCATCAGTGGGGATACAGATGGCTTAGCTGAAGCATCACGACTAAATCTGAAGTAAATTTCCCCATTATAACTGTTTCCTGAATCAGCTGACCACTTCATTTACCACTCTGACCTCTCTCCTCTGAGGAGCATGTAACACTCTGCAAGTTGTGCTTGAATGTTTATACTCCACATCTCCCATTGCTTGTCCCCTGACCCATGGCATCCTCCTTCCCCACTTCCCTTACACATCAGTGGCAGGCTGCCCAGGGACTCATCTTCTCAGCCACAGCCTTCTCAGCCACCCAGACCTCCAGGGACAAGTTTCATTGAGAGCTTGTGTCCTTGCTGGCAGCCAGCCCCAGAACTGGTGATTTGGCAGCCTCACCTTCACCTATCAGTACGATCAGTAAAAGCCTACATTTGCTGACAGTCATTTTCAGCACCGCTGTCTTTCCTCAGTCTTTCTGGCTCTTTCCCTACTGCAATTCACAGTCTTGATAAAAGCTATCTCTGTTGGCACTGATTTATTCCGCATGGTAAATGTAAATACGTAGAACCCAGACCTTGCTGTCAGCTGAACCTTACTGAGGAGGACAAAGTCACTTTATCTTTCCATGTTTCACTTCTCCAGCTGTCCCCTGAGGACACCACCGACCTGTCTTCCACTGTACATGGAGGTTTGCCAGGAAAAAGCAGAACACTTCAGGTTTGCAAGTGGTACCAAGTTTGGTTTTCCTTTAGGTTTGGGGGGTTTTGTTTGGTGAACAGTCACTCATCAAAAATGTGCATTAATTAAATATTCACTTATAAATCTTCTTGGACAAAGGACAGAGGACTATTCTGAGAGTAAATCACTAGTGCACCAATAGGAGAGTCAAAACCTCATTGCAGCAGCAAGTACATCACAGATTCCCCCCCCCCCCCCCCAGTGCCAGGGAAAATAAGCCTCTTCCTAGTCCAGCCAAGCCCATGGCTTCAAAGGTCTCAAGTTCAGCCTCCCATGGAGCCATGAAGGTGCCACTTGTGGTGTTTACATAGGGAACACAGGAGGTGGAGAAGAAATAACGACCTAACTATTTTCACTTTATTTTTTCAGTCCACTAGTCCAAGTCTCCAGAAATGACAGGGAAGCCTCTCCAGGAGATCAGAATAGCCAGGAAATGGAGTTACAAACATTGCTTCTTCAAGCTGAGTTGGAAGGAGGCTGAGAAATGAAGAAGACCACATTCTCCTTGTTGCCCCAGAGCTGGCATTCAGCAGCAGCACCTTTTCCCCTACAGGGAATAAAGTGCATCCATTAAAGTACACTTTGATGTGTGTGTCCTGATGGTTTTTGTAGGCCTCCCAGACAGTCCATCCCCGTAATGCTGTGCCTTTTTGTACCTGACGTCTGCTTGGCAGCTCCACCATGCACCACTGGGTGCATGGCACTGCTGCCATGAAGGACTCGGTTAAGCGTGTGTCACTGAAGACCCACGTGTGTCAGGAGTGCGGCAAATCCTTCAGCAAGAAGGGGAACCTGAAGAGACACCAGCAGATCCACACAGCAGAGGAGCTCTTCACTTCACCACCCAAGGGCACCTCATGACCCACCAGAGCATCCACACAGGAGAGAGACCTTCCTGCTGTGGAGAGTGCGGGCGATGCTTCCATCTGGAGATATGCCTGGGTGCCCACCAGAAGACACACACCAAAGGTGGTCCCTACCTCTGCACCTATTGCAGCAAGAGCCTGAGCACAAAGAGCTACTTCAGTATCCACATGCGGACCCACATGGAGAAGAGGCCGTTCGCCTGCACCAAGTGTGGGAAGAGCTTTGTGAAGAAGGGCACCCTCACCACCCACAGAGAGATCCACAAGAGGCAGAAGCCCTTCAAATGCCCCGACTGCAGTAGGCGCTTTGGGCAAAGTGCCACACTGATGGCCCACCAGAAGATACACCTCCATGGGGGGCCTTTCATTTGTACTGAGTGTGGGAAGAGCTTGAGCACCAAGAGATATTTCAGTGTCCACCAGAAGAACCATGCTAAGCAAAAGCAAAAGCCACTGGAGGGACATATTAATGGTGTGTCTCTCCAGGTCATGCAGATTAAAGAGGAGCCTGATCTTTCCTTCAGGTCAGAGGAGACTGTGTCGGAAAATATGTCCCATGAAGGAGATGCCCAGGGATGTAGCATACCTAGAATCCCATTTAATCTGAAAAGTCCTCCTTGGAAAATCCAGGTGAAGGAGGATCCAGGACCACCCACTGATGACACAGCAAACATTTCTGCAATAGCCTGCCAGAAACTTTACATCAAGGAAGAGCCACCAGAAAATCTGGACTATGGAAAGATCCCACTGATGGCTTTACAGGAGAGTCTGCTTAAAAAGGAAGAAGATGCTGATGGCCAGCATGAGCAGGAAGTCCCCACAGCCAGTAACCTGGTGCTTCATGTGAAGGAAGAACCACAGGAAAGCATTGAGTTTGGGATGCATTATGGGCAGAAGCCAAACCTCAATGCTATCCAGAGGATCCAAATTAAAGAGGAACCTCGTGTGGAGGCCAATCACCAGGAGAGCCAGAGCCCAGAGAGAAAGCAGAAGAAAAGCTGTTTGTCCACCAAAGAGAGGATGCTGGAGAACTGGGAGAAATCCATGTCCAAAGACCCCTCAGTGAAAGGAGCTCCCAGGGGTGAACGGGTTTTCCCCTGTCCTGAGTGTGGGAAGAGTTTCAACCAGAAATCAAACCTGACCAGACACAGGAAGATCCACACGAGTGAGGGACCATACAAGTGCAGTGAGTGTGGGGAGAGCTTCCGCATGAACCGCAAGCTGATCTGCCACCAGCGAGTCCACGTGAGCGAGCCCTTCAAATGCAGCGAGTGCGGGAAGAGCTTCACCCAGCGGTCAAATCTGGTCCGGCATCAGAGGATTCACACCAAGGAGGAGCCCTACCAGTGCCCCGAGTGCGAGAAGACCTTCAACCAGAAGGCCAACCTTTTCCGTCACCAAGTCATCCATGTCCGCATGGGGCCGTGCAAGTGCACCAAGTGTGGGAAATGCTTCCCCCATAAGCACCACCTGATCAAACACCAGCTGCTCCACTCCCGAGGTGGGGCCTACAATTGTGGGGTCTGTGCAAAACGTTATCGGCTGAAGAAGTACCTGAGGAGGCACCAGAAGATTCATGAACGGGAAGGAGCTGCTCCCTGCTTAAAACAGGGGGAGGCCACAGGGGCCGGCAGTGGACCCCACCACAACAAACAGAGCGTTGTACCCCATGAATAGCAAAGAGGAGAGCTGAGGGGATGTGGTGCTTGGCCTTTGGGAAAGTCCTTTGGGAAAGGGGAGGGATAGAAACAAACTCTGCTTGCCTTATGTGTGCAGTATCTGGGCACTGGGAGGTCAACTTGAGGGTCCAGTGGGGACAGTGGGGCAGAGCACTGCTGGAAACCAGTCCTCTGCAGCTTTTCTGAGGACACCCCCAGAGCATCATTTGCTTACAGGGGAGTGATGGGGCTGGAGAGCCAGGTCTCAGAACACTTAAGAGATGGAGGGATAAAAGCTTGGCATCCTTTGTAATGGTATGGTTGTGCTTCTAAAGAGTGTCAAAGTTGTGGATGCCAAAATTGTCTTGTGTGGGCAATGTTTGGCCAGGGGGACCAGGCAGGATTTATATTTGTTAGAATACTGTGTTTCTCAGAAGCTGAAGGAATCTCTCCCATCTACTGAAGGGTTTAAAGCAAGGGCCAGTTCTCATGTAGCTCTGATCCATACCTTGATCCTACTGGGCTGATGGACCCTAATAAACCAGGTGTACATATCTGGAGTAGACTATTCCCACCCAGAGTGGGGTTTTAAGCCCTGAATCCCACAAACCAGGCTCCCAGATTGGCTTAAACCAGGTCCATAAAATTAAGTAATGCAAAATTAATGACTGTTTTCCCAAACCTAGCCCAGAGACCAACAGATTGTATTGTGATTTGTGCCCCCACAGTCCCATTGCATGGATGTAAATGGGAATGGCTTTTCTTAGCACTGAGTGCTCATCTCCAATGAGCAGGTGGCTTTGTCACCCCAAGTCTCAGAGGCATCAGTGACTTCACCAGCTGGAGCAACACCAGGGCTGGTTCTCAGCCACCTGCTTCCCTACCTGTTACTGTGAAGCTCTTGGTAGGATATTGACTTTATTGGGCATGATTTAGGGAATTCAAGCAGCAGAAATAGCTGGGAGTGTCTTCAGTCTTTAAGGACTAGAGAGCTAGAAAATACTTCCCTGTCAGGGTGTTTTCCTTTCCTGTCCCTGGTGTAAAGGGGAATGTGCAGCTACTCAAAAGCATGTACAGTTCAGCAGTCTTCATTGCTCGCTTATGATGATTTTGTGTGAGTGTTCCCTAGTCAGATGAATCTTTGTGTCTTGAAAATCCCTGGTGGAGCAGAGATGTGGAGGGAATCCACAATACCCTGAGCAACTCCCCAAGGTTTCTCTGCAGCACTGTTGCATGGCCAGCTGGGCACTGCCAAGCAAAGACACATACTGAGGTTTGTTGTGTTGCTGTAATAGGTACAGTCCAAGAGGCAAGTGGAAGAGTGTTCCATGGTGAAATAGTAGCTCTGCCTCTCTGGTTTTGTGCAAGAAAAGAAGCCCCCTTCCTACCCCTAAGGCACACACCACTTCATTCTCACAGGACATGCTGCAGATAGCATCCTCTTAGAGGCTGCTGAAAGTCATGCATCATGACTTTGGGCAACTACCTGCTGTGATGCTTCAGACCCAAGCTGCTTGTATATCCTCACTGCCCACTCTGGAGCAGCTTGCCTCTCTAGGCAGGGAAACTGAGGCATGAAGAGAAGGAAAGGAACAGGACAAACTGTTCTTGAGCTTTGCCTTTACCAGCTACTTGGACACTGGTGTTGCATTGAGGCACTTTATTGTGGCACAAAGCTGAGAACAGCTGCCAAGCCCCAAATGCACAGAGTAATTTTTGTGTTTAGATTCTCTCATCCTTTGATACAGTCAGGCCCAGAACATGATTTTGAACAGCAGAGCAAGCTCTGACAGCCTCTGAAGAAAGCAACCTCAGTCCCCTCACCTGCAAAGTGTAGCCAAACTGATTGATACAAATCTCCCCTTCAAATCCCTGTGACCTGGTGCAGATTCATTTCTGGGACAGAAAAGGCAGATGCATAGGGGAAAAAACAAGTTTAGGATGTTCTAGGGAAAAAACAAGTTTAGGATGTTCTAGAGGAGACTAAGGAGCATCCTTGTTAAAAAATGGGTCTGGGCCATATGGTGGGTAAATACTTCATAGCAGGGCTGGGAAACTATGTTCCTTGGGCTGAGGCAAACTAATGAAGCAAAACAGCCTCTGTTAGGCTTGCTGAGGGGCAGAGGTACAGCAGAGCCCTTCAGTGGGGAGAAATTAATCACCAGATGGATGGCATTTATTTCATTTTCATTAGCATAGTGTAGGACTCTAGAGGCTTTTACCAGGAAGAGGAACTGGTATGAGGGGTTTGCCAGTTGTATTACTGTGTCCATGCACACAGACAGGACAATGTCAATAGCTTTCCTGGATGTCCCTGGGTCTTCCGCTGTTGACCATAGCCAGTGTGGGTGTCCTAGCTACTGGGGACAATTGGGGCTGGTAGTCTGTAATATCTCCTCAATAAAGAAAATATTTAAAGAAAAAAAAGAACCAAGCCTCTTCTCTGGTTTTAGACTTTTAAGAAGAAATCTCATCTTGCACAGTGGGTCAGGTAAGGTTTGTCTTGAGACAATTGCTGTCCTATTTCTAGCCATGCACATCATTTCTGTGGATTTCAGGAGGAATTTGGCTGTGGGATTATTTTTGATCACCTCATTGCCTCATTGACTATCTGTGTGCATAATCTCAGCACCAGTTCTGTCTCTGGCTTGTCTGGAGGAAAGATGGAGACAGGCTGTGATGGGAGCTCTTATGCAAGAGTGCTTATTTTATGCTTCGATTGGATGCATGGAGCTGATTGGTGCTCAGCATGTTCTGGTATGGTGGGAACAAGAGGGTCTCTGGGGCCAGAACTAACATCTGCTTCAGCATAAGTACCCTGGGATGTTTACTTGCCTTTTGAGAATAGGATAGTTCCCATGAGAACTTCTTCACGAATCCCAGGCTGCAGGGAGCCTAGTGTCCCTACAGATGGGGAGTGAGAAAAGGAAAAACACCAGGATGAAAACTGGGTGAGCAACAGAACACTCAGAATCACATACTTCTACACAGGCTTTATCTGTTCACTTGTGACTGGCAGACTCTGTGGAGTATGAGTACTTACTTACCACCAGCACCTTAGCTACCTCTCATCCCGTCCCAAGGCAAAGTGTTGCAACCAGGTAGCACCACACGGGACCAGGTTATCAAGCTGAACCTCCTGTAGCCAAGGCACGCTTAGAATCATTGCCTCCATCTCCTGACCCAAAGCAGTTTCGCCCTTGAAAGTGATTTCTTGTGCTGGAACAAAGCCAAGGTGAGAGATCTCCATGAAAGGACCAAAGCTTCTGACTAGTCCCCAGCTGCAGATACTCTGAACAAGGTCAATAAAATCTGTGATCTCCTTTTCTAGGATCAGGGTTAGCCTGGAAGCAGGAGCAGTCCCTGCAGTGGGGTAGATGAGTTGGGCAGTGCTCGGCAGTGGCTCTCCGCTAATTGCAGGAGTTGATTACAGCCCGTTGCTATCCTTTGTAAAAAGGCTGCTGTCCCATGGGAGACACTGCAGAGCCCTACTGCTCACTCTTTTTTCCCACCCCAAGCTGACTTCTGCCTCTTCTGCTTCTGTCTGGCCTCTTCCCTGGGGAGCTGCTGTTTCAAAGGGCACCAGCCTCCTCCAAGTCACTGTAAACCAAAGGCAGAAGTAAAAAGCAGAGATCTGGAAATCCTACTCTACCAAGTCACAAGATTTTCTCCTTTTTCATCATCTGAAAAACAGGATAAGATGCTTTGAAAATAGAGTAAGGTACAAACTGTACTCATTTCTACATGTGCACTGGCCTCCGAGAAACAAAATAGAATGAACAGTGAGTGTCTGAATGTAGAAGACAACTTCTGCTAGGAGAGTAACAGGGTTTTGAAGTCATGCAAGAGTAAGCCATCATTATACTGTGCTGAAGTTCACTTTCCATTAGAAATGCCCGCAGAGCAGAAAACCAGTCCCTGCAGGAGAGCTTGGAACAGCACTGCTGTGAGCTCACTTAGGGGAAAAAGGACTTAGGAAACTAAATCTTGTGAGCTAGAAGCTAAGCAACCCTGAAAACTGGTTATTCCTAGTCACAGCTCAGAGTGTTGGCTTAGGATGCAGGCAGAGATTGCTAATACCCTTTTGCTGCACCACTGAGCTGCAGCTCATTGTGCATAGTCAGGGCACATGCTTATTTAGCCAGTATTGCTTGGCCCAAAACTTCCCCATCAGAGTGGATGGGCAAAGAAGCAGAAAAGCTCTTGTGACAAAGAATGTCTTACTTTGATCAAGTTAATTTATTATAGCTTTAACCAGCTTGGGGTAGGTTGAAGAGCAGAGAGAAGAGGGGGGAATGTGAAGCATGGAAAAGGGGACTGTAAAGCCTCTGACCAGATGGCAGAAATGAGTTGTGGATCAGATCTAACAACATGATGAAATGCTGTGAAGCCTAGGAAACACCATGAAAATCTGGGCTTCCCTGGGGGAAGGTGTTAGATCCAGATCAGATCTCACTTACAGCTTTGCCTGTTTGTATTGACTTACTATCAGTGACTTCAGGCTACATTAAAGCCCCATGTTAGCTGATGCCATGGATGACTCCATTTGCTGCTCACTGTGGGGTGAATGAGAAATGAGCTTATGGATGTTCCTGCATCTTCATGGGTTCTTGCTTCTCTTTTCGAAGCATCACCTGCTGTTGTTTTCCTAGGCTGAATATCCTTGTGCACAAGGGCTGAAGTGCAAGAAGGAAAGATAAATCACGAGAGCTCATTTCCTGAGCACAAATCCACATGAAGTCATTGCTGCAAGGTGATCTTTATGTTGCAAAACCGTCCAACCAGGCCTGCATGCCTCCCTCTGTCCCCAGCTAAGGGGTCAGGTGTGATCAGAAACTAAGGAGCTTGTGACTAATTTCCTGGGATGGACCAGCCCAAATCGGGTAGCTTATATACACACATAAACACACACCCCTACCCCAGCCCTATGAATGTAACTGAACTGGAAAGACAGGAAAACAGGTCACAGATCAGCACCCCTTTGATCACTCTGCAGGCAGCAGCATCTTAGCTGCACAGTTTGAGCACATGTGGTCTCTCTGAGACTTATTTCCATAAAGTGGTGTACGGTAGAAATTACACCAGACCCTGTAGGTGTTCCTTACTGCTTGCCTTTACAGAGGGATAGAGCATGAGGAGCTCCTGTTCCAAGCAGGACCTGCAGAGGTTCAGCCTTTGCTTCCCCAGCCCCTTCTCTGTCTTCTGGCCAAGGGGAAGAGGGATGCTCTGAGAGGTGACAGTCACACCTAGCCTGTCTGGGAGCCCAATTCCTGCAGCAGTATATGACTCCCTTTGAGCCACTTTCTATCCTCTTTTTCAGGATAGTTTTTACAGACCTTTGATATAGGCTTCCTGTGTCTCAGCACTTCAGTCCCACAGAGGATGAAGGATAAAGCTGAGGAAGAGGAATCCTGGATGTCTGCACTCTTGGGGAAGATAGGCCTGGATTACCTTCACTAACAAGACCTTGCCTGCCTGAGGAACAGACAGCTAAATCTTGGTGAATGTAAGGTAAATGGGGCTGGAGGGAGGTTGTCCCTACAGCTGGGACATTCACTGACTGGCTGTCCTTTGCTACACTGATGCAGGGATTCAGCAGAGGAGAAAGGGGAGGGAGAGATTCTTTGATGCCTGGAAATATTTCTCATCAATAGGAGAGCATATTCCCAGCAATTTCCATGGGGTATTTCCCAGCCTGCATCAAATGTTCCTTGAGTGTACTACTCAGTTTGCTTTTTATGCTGTGCACAGATGTGTTGTCTGTCATTAGTTGTCTGTCATTACAAAATTTCTTTTATCTCCTAAAGACATTCTGGACAAAGTATGTAGCAGAGAAAATAAGTCTGCTTTTCTTCTTAACATCTCCATGCAAATAATAAGCCTGATCCATCTTTAGCTCAGCATTAAGGGAGCCTCTTTCTACTCACCAAATCGCTTTCAGATGCCAGGGGCTCAGAGCAGCTCAGCCACTAATGCACAGCCTAACATTGCTTAACTCCACTCTGCTTGCTTTTCACAAACTGATTGCCAAGCACCCAGCATGGAAAGTGGCACAGGGCTGTGAAGGTCTGTGGCTAATGTTGCATCCCAGCATGGTCAGCCAGATGCTGGGTTGGAGGACAGAAGGCATCCTGCTGCCCTTAGCAAGACAATTCCTAGGGTTTAGTCCCAGTCTGCAGGGGAATTTTGAAAAGCAGGCATGTAATTGTATCATTATACATCTGTGCAGCCTGAATATGCCCTCCCTACCCACATGCTTCGGTGTGTAGCTTTGCCAATATGAATGAGGAGGGAGAAGTGAGAGCTTCCCCAGCAAAAAAAAAAACAAAGATTCTCAACAAAGCTGAATAGTCACAGACTCACAGAGTGGCTTGGGCTGGAAGGGACCTTAAAACTCATCCAATTCCACCCCCCCACCATGGGCAGGGACACCTTCCACTAGACCAGGTTGTTCCAAGTCCCGTCAAACCTGGCCTGGAACACTGGCAGCGATGGGGCAGCCACAGCTTCTCTGGGCAACTGGTTCCAGCTTGCTACCTGCTACAAAGCACCCAGGAACAGGCAGTCCAACCTCCCCTGGGAGATGGAGACTTAAAAGGGGACACACAGCCGCACAGACAAAACTGTTTTCTTGGTCTCACTGGTTGAGACTCCTCCACCATGTCTAGTAGAGGATGCAGACCTGGGCTCTGCCACTGCCTCACCAGACGTTCTCTTTCAAGTCACATCCCTGCATTTCCTATTTGCAAAGTGTTTTGAGATCCACAGACTAAAAGGTGAGGGAAGAGGAGAATAGGGTGGCTTTACTTGCTTGCACAACTCCAAGGAGGTCATCCACGCAAACAGAGAGTGAAAGCATCCACATGGACAGCTTGGAACTATGGGGGGACTTCTAATGCAAAGCAGTTCAGCTGCCTAAAAATAGCAATTAAAAAAGAGAACTAGTGCAAATCAAAAGCTATTTCCAGTCTGCTGCTGCATGGGCACTGTGTTTCCCTGTAACAACCCAGAGCTACCAAATGTAGGAATCCTCCAAAGCAACCTAGCAAGCAGCATCCCTGCAGAGGACTACAGCTCCCAGGAGCCTGCAGCCCAGGCAGTGCCTGTGGAGGGACCAGGCGCTGGGCAGCCAGGCAGGAGTACAGGCAGGGAGGCAGCATTGGCTGGGGATCCCCCCAACCATAAACTGAGGTGTTTTAGGGCTGCTGTTTCCTACCCCCAAGCCCCTTCTCTCACTGACCCAGTTCCTCTGTCTCTCCTCCCCCTCGGTAGTTTTCACATAGCTGACACAGACTTCCTGTGAGTCAGCACCCACAGATGTGAATGAAGTAGCTGAAGGTGAAGAAGAGCTCAAAGTGGGTAGAAATAAGAAAATCTGGCCAATGACACTTGGATACTTCCAGACCTACATACTGCTGAGGGAGATGGAAGACAGGTCAGTAAATAGCTGAGCTGGGATGTCTGGGCCAGGATGGGATGCTGAGGGCTGAACCCCTTCGCGGTGTCTGCATGTGTCCCACAGCATCCCAGGGCAGCAGTAGGATACCTCTGGGAGTTGGGGTCACTGTTGCAAAGCCAGAGTGTTTGTCAAGGTTGTCTGTGGTGGAGTAAACTGCCCCAGGTGGGATAAATTGCTTCCCTTGTCTTTCTCAGCCTGAATCCTGCCTGAGAGACCTAGCTTGTTCCCCTGGATGGAGGTGACCGGTAAGGTCAGAGGTATGGTTAGTCCAGGAGCAGGCAGCTTGGCTAAACACAGGGAGCAGGAACACCAGTACGACATGGGAAGGGCCATCCATCCTTTAAAATCTGACTAAAATTGATGCTTCTGGGACATCTGTGCAACAATTGCTTTCAGGAGTGATGGAGGCACAGGTGGGAATGAGTTAATACACAGCCTGCCTGTGCCTGTGTGTGTGCTGTTGGGCAGAGGTGTTATTCGCAGTAGAAGGAGCAGAGCAACAGTAGAGGAGCTGCTCCTGTTCATGTGTTTCACGAGCATAACTCAAGCAGCTGTGCTGACATGCAGCCATCACTGGGAAAAATGTCCCAGCACATGGAACAGCAAGAGAGAACAGTTTGCCTGGAATCATCTCTGGGCCCTGAGAAGTTGGTGACCACAGAGAGTAAAAGCAACCTCCATTTCTCAGCCTAACTGAAAGGTCCACAAAGAACATCTCACCCAATACCTGTCCTTTCTGTTGGTGAGAAAGGAGCAGATGTGCTGCAAATGCCCTTGGATGGAAGCCTGCTGGGATGCATCAGGCTGCTGAGCCTGATGGATTAGGGCTCCCTTTGCCCAGGTGAGGGGTTGGGCAGAGGCTTCTCAGGCACCTTGGGGCACTTGGGAAAAGGAGCAAGGGAGGAGAGAGTTTTAGTTGGCTACTCCACCCAGCCAGGAGCTGCCCCAGGTAAGTTCCTTAGACAGCTTGGTAGTGTTTCTCCCATGAAGAAAGTCTATGGCAAATAGGTACTTCTTCAGCCTGGACTTCTAATGCAATTGGGTTAATAATGCTGGTGATGGTGTTGTGGCTGCACCCTTCATGGGTCACGTGCGACAGCCTGCAAATTGAATCTGGCATCAAGGCAAAGCTGGACCTTTGGCAGTTCAACTGCAGGAAAGAGGGCAGGAGAAGGAGTTGATTCCTTGCTGCCCTGGACACCAGGATGACATCTGTGTCCATTCAGTTGTTTTCCTCGCCACCAGCCCTAGCAGCCTTGCACAGCCTCTGGTGTCTGCCCTGGTGCTGCACAGAGAAATGAGGACACTGGTGTGAGATTCATTTCTGCCTCCAGCCTGCCTGGCTGCAGCCATGACCCAGATGTCATTGTCCCATCACCGTGTTGGATGTGACACAAAGTCCCTATAGAAATAGAGGTGCACCTGCTGAGGACGTGAGCCCCGTGGGGTTTGCACAGCCAGATGAGCCTTAGACAGCGATCGGGCAGTTCTGTTCCACAGATGTGATATTTCAGTGCTGGGAGTGCAACATGAGACATCCCAGAGGCAAGCAGCTGTTAGCTCATCCTTAACACTTACCCTTGTGATCCCAGAAGGTCCCTCTCTACCAGTGCACTGAAAGAGGAGCAGATGATCTCAGTGACTACTCTTTGCATGGGTTCCTGGTCCTGGCCCCTGGTCCTGGTCTGGTCATCCTGACTTATGACTCCAGGAATGCTCCAGAAATGGGTCTGTGTGTGCCTGCTACCAAGGGGGATTTACTTCTGGAAGTGCTGATGACTATGAGCTGGTCCCTGATGGTTGTGACCACCAGCCATTAACACCTCTCTGAAGGAAACAGACTTAGGTGTTTGTTCCTGCTCAGAGATCAGCTCAGCACGAGGAGCCACCATACCACCAATATCTTGTTGTGAGTACTTGGAGACGTGGAGAACCTCCACCCTGTGCCAGGCAGTTCCAGCAATGACCTTCAATCCCTTCTTAGATTTTACAGTCTCTCGGCCTTTGGTTTTACTAGAATTAACTAAGCTTGGCTGGGCTTTTATTTACAATTTTCTTTTTCACCATGTCTGCTTGCTATACTAAAAGCAGTTGGTTTGTTGTTTTTTTTCTCCTCTTGGCCTTGACAATAACACCTGCCTCGGTTTCTTCTCAGGTTCAGCCTCCATGAAGGAAAACATAAGCTTTCATCTAAAGAAGAGTAACTCAAACCAGTGCAGAAGCTTTCCCATCCATGTTTGCCACCTCCCAGCAGCCCTGGCAGGCAGGAAAAGCTGGTAGCAACAGCCAGGAGGACTCCCAGCAATGCCTGTCCTAGTGAACACCACCCAGGACCCACCCCTGAAGAAGTAGGTGGTGGAACAGCCAGCCACGATGATGCTGAGCTCTTGGAGGCAGAGGATTTTCTCAGCTGCACTCGCGAGAAGTTGTACACTTGCATGAGTTGTGGGGACAGTTTTAACCACAAGGGCACCCTGGCAACCCACCAGAAATACCATAAGAAGGAGATAGAGGCTGAAGGCTTTGAGAACGAGGGTGATGATGACTAGCCTCCAGAGCTGCATGACTGAGACGGCATCAGAGCTGGAGGGGAGGCCAGTGGGGAAGACCCTACCAAGCACAGCAACACAGAGTTATCCTGAGAAAAGGAAGAAGCCCCATGCCTGTGGTGAGTGCAGGAAGAGCTTCAAGGTGAGGGTGGACCTCACCAAGCACCTCTGGAATCACACGGGGGAGAGATCTTTCTCCTGCACTGACTGCAAAAGGTTCATCACCAAATCAAGGAGCACCAGAGGATCCACATGGGTCAGCAGAAGTACAAGTGCCTGGACTATGGGAAGAACCTCACCCAGAATTTGCCCCTCATTGTGCACCACGAGATCCACACAGGTGAGATGATCATGAGCTCCTACAGGTCCCATGATAGAAAGGATTAAGCACTCAACAAGAGAAGGACTGATGCCTGCTCACTTGGGAATGTTGTGTCTGCCCCCAAAGTCCATGGTCCTGGTGGAGCTGCTCTCCTGGGAACATCTCACAGTATATGGTGGGAGCCTGGAGTGGTAAACCTGGGAGGATCTGGACTTTGGCACAGAGCGAACTTAAACCTCAGTCAAAACTGGCTGACACAATGGGAGATTTGGAGATGAGGGACAGATATAAATACTTATTTTGGCTTCTTCTTTATCTCTTATATAAGAGTCCTCATTTCAACATGGTTGGGTTGGGGTTTTTTTGCTAACAAGAGGGATGAGATGTTTTTTAAAGTAAGTAAATGAAATCTGTGATTTCAGATATATTCATGTGATTCCAACAGCTGGAGCTTTAAGAAAAAAGAAAAGTACCAAAAATCTCACCAAACATAGTAAGGCTTTCCATCGTCAACTTCCTGGCAGGAGTAGGAGCAAGCCATAGTTGTTGGTCCCTAGCCTTCCAGCAGCTGATGCCAGCACTGGCTGTCCTGCAGTCATGTGAGGCAGTGAGGGGTCTGCTACCATGGACAAATTGCAGTCAGAGGTAAGGGAGGATGCTGTTCTGCTGACAGGCAGGGTACACAACAAAGTGACCACAGACTAGCTGTATAATATGCACAATTTATTAAACAAGCACACTAAAGTAAATAAGCACATGAAAGCAAACAAGCATGCTAACCTGAAACTGGTATGTATATATTTATATATAGTAAATAAGTACAGTGAAGCAAATTAGAGATCTATATATATAAAGTACAGAGGAAAATTAGCAATGCATCAAATCATTACTACATAGAGAGAACAGAGATTAAGAAGAAATACATCTCCAATTACCGTTGAATCACCATCCAGGCCCACATTTCCAGCTTGGAAGCCCCATTGCAGCTGATGCCAGGAGTCTCAGGTAATTGGGAAAATTCCTGCATGGTGCATCCACCCATAGGTGAGGATTCAGATTTGGCTCCAAGAGGGTCCTGCTCTTGTACCCTTAGAAAAACAACTGGGTTTATGCCAGATCTGTAATTGTTTACTCTTGGGGCTGTTTCTTATGATCTCACTGTCGTCCATGCTGAGAGCATTGGCCAGGTGCCCTAGCATGGCCAAGTATGAAGGTCATAGAACACTTGCACACCTGTGTTTTCCTCCTCCTTCCAACAGTCACAATGAACAAAAACATATATGCTCTACTGAATACACTTGGACAAAAAACATCCTTTGTTATGTCTCAGTCTTGAGAGGGAATCAACTCTCAGCTAGGCTCGCAACCATTGCAGATGCCAAGGCCAAAGGACTAGGGTATGGGGACACAAACGGTGTGTTTAACTGTTCTGCCAAGAAAAGGAGGCATTAGGTTGATCCCAGTGCTTCACCAGCTCAGGTGGAGTTGGGAGTTTGCAGAGGCCGTTTCCACCACAAGCATGGATTGAGCCTCCCCACATCTGACATGGAGGCTTTGGCCTATGAGCTGTGTTGTCCCATAAGACCCCTCTGACCCAGCTTAGTAATGTGGAGGCTACCTTCAAGGTGCACCTCCAAAGCTACTGGGCCAAGCCAATTTGCTGTTTAGAGTGATTTGGGGGCAGAAGAAGGAAGGGCTTTGCTGGGCAATTGACTGAAAGTGCCACTTCAGACTTGCCCAGGGGGTTCAGTTGCTTTTGCATCCTGGGCATTACTAAGAGAGCTTCAGTGACAGCAAAAAGGAGGTTCATGACTCCCTCCCCAGAACTGGGTGCTCTCCTTGCCCAGAGCAGCACTCTATCCTCCTGCTCCCTCCTTAGCCACCAGGTTTTGCCTTTGAGGTTGCACAAATGTGGTGAGACGTGAGACTGCATCCATACAATGATGACTTTCAGTACTTGGCCATGCCTTTGGAGCTCAACCAGCCGCTTCATCAAAACTACCCACTGCGAAATGATCCTCCTCCCTCTGTGCTTTTAGCAGCGCTTGCCATTGATGGATTCAGCATGTGCCCTGTGCTCCATTCCCCAGCCGCTGCTGCTCTATGTCCTGGCCATTACATTACTATCCTGCTATTAACAATGGCAAAGAGCTCTATCTAATGCCACAAAGAAATGACAGGAGCTGAAGGAAGAATCAATAAACCAGTGGTAGCTTGCAAAAACTGAGACAGCTTGTCTTCAAACCCCATGTGGTCACCAGGCAAGCCAAATGGATACTTACACAAAGTTAAGGGCCATTTTCATTTTAGTCTTTTTTACCCCCAATAGATCTGTTTGATTTTGAAGATTTCCTTCAGCATTTCTATTATTTTCATAGGGCTTTTTTCCCTGCATTTTTTTTATTTTTTTTTTTTTGCTAGCATGAAATTCATCAGCCCTAAATATGTAGACTGATAACAGACTGTGATAATAGTAGACTAAACTATTACATGAAAAGCAGGGAATTAAACCATTCACTGGAAAACAGGCCATGGTGGAAGGCGGCTGCTTTCTGCAAGCTTTGTATCCTTTTAAGCTTGCTTTTTTTTGTACAAGATGTTACTGCTCCAGTAATCTTTGCTCAGCTCTGCCCTATTTCTGCAAGCGAAAGAGACAGTGAGCTGGTGTGCAGGCTCAGCCTCACCAGTTGCCCCAGCCTTGTCCCTTGTTTGCGGATTTTCTCTCAGGAATTAAAAGACAGTGAGGAATAAATTATCCAGGTCCTCTTTTCTAACTGGGAATGTTTTTTTTAACTCACATGATGACCCACTCACAGAAACAAAGTTGAGTTGGGGGTGGTCGGAAGGCAGCTACGTACGTGACATGCACTGATAAAGTGACTGCTTTTCCAGCCAAGGTGATTGTGAGAGATGAGTCGCAGACTGTGTTACTGGAGCATGGATACAAGGAGAAAAGGTTTTGCCTAAGCATCTTTCTAGTAAGACCCAAGACAAACAGTAGAGCATGAGTGCAGCCCAGTTGGACCGTCCTTTGGTGAACAGGAAAAGCTTAAGATGTGGTTGAGCAGTTTTCCACTGGCTGTCTAGAAAAGTTTGGCTGCTGTGGGGTAAAGGAAGGTGAATTCTTAGTCTAACAGAGTTTCTCACCTGCAAATCTTCCTAAAGTCTAATAAGAATAGTAATAATAATAAACAATAACAACAACAATAATAATAGTAATAATAACAGGAATGTATCTATTTGTCTCTCAGTGGTTGCAGGTCTACCATGCTCTGGGGCTGGCTTTATCTCACCTGAATTCATGTCTCTGCACCATCTGAGCTGGTCATCCACTATTTAAAATCAGAAGAAAGAAAGAGAGAGATGGAGAAAGTGATTTTTCTGCCCTATTTAGATGTCCGCACTAGGGTGAGACTCCAGGACTCCTACTGGCTTCATCTTCTCGGCTGCAAGGGGGAGCTGGGCTCCAAGTGAGACATCCCTATTAGTTCATGGTGGTTTTACCTCATAGGAGCCAGCCTCTTCAGGAAAAGAGCAGGAGCTGTAGGAACACAGGCTGCAACAGCCAGCAGCTATTAGACATCATTGGCACACAGAGGCAGCACTGCAGATGTCTCTGAGGCAGAAACATTCCAGCCCTTAACAATTTGCCTGCTGGGCTGCACTGATGAAACTCTGCCTTCAAACAGTCCTGGCTGTGGACAGACACCCAAGGGAGTGAGCTGGTGCAGACAGGGATGTGGAAAGGCTGCCATAATCCACACAGAAGGAGATGGTTATTTTCCAGCTATTTTTCATGACTTTTTATTTATTGGTAGGCAGAAACTAGTCATGCAAGAGATGGGAGAGCTAGCAGGAGTCATGAACACCCAGTGAAATACTAACATACAATCCAACATTATCTGCTGCTCTTCCCTACATTTCTTTTTACAAAGCAAAATAAATTACATTTTGCAATTGTCCTTTTTCTCAGTACCATGTCCCAACATACTTCTGTTGTATAGGATCCTTCAGCTATGAGGTTCATCTCTTTTCCCTGGATTTTTTCTGTATTTCCTTTGATAGTTTGCCTCTATTTTCTAATAAAAACCTGTACTAAAAAAAGCTGCTCTTTATTCCTGTTGTATTCAAATCACCCCGAGAGAAATGGAGGTGGGGGAGGTGAGAACCTGGGATGGAAACATCCACCTTGCTCCAGGACATTAGCATCCTCATCTCGATTCAACCCTTCATCCCATGGCAGGTCTGAAGGGGGGTTGTGTGAGACCCAGATTTTGCTGTAGGAATACCTGAGAAGGAACTTAACTTTCCATGTCTCTCTAGCAATATTTGGAAAAGTATATGCAAGCTCCTCACTCATCTTGGTGTAAATCAGTCTGCAAAAATCAGTGATAAACAGAAGCAAAATACTGGTGAGAAATCCTGTCTCCAAGCATTCAGTGGATCCTGGTTTTCTGCTCAGATCATTGCTGTTTGCTGGTGATCGTAGTTTTGCAGACAGGAGCTCATCAATGGGGAAAGAGCAACAGGGCGGGAAGCGAGAATGAGACTTCTTTCATTAGCGTTCACACTTTGCATCATGAGCATCCCAAAACCACTCTTCATGCCAGCCCTGCCATGCGTCCTGGGGCAGGAGAACACCCTTTTTTAAGAGGCAGGAAGCAGACATGGTGCAAGAGATACAAACCACTTTCATTTAACAGATCCCCTGGTGTGCTCAGCTAAGACGCTGCTCCTGTGCTCCTGCTCCCTTCCCACTGTTTGACCCAGACCTTAATCTTGCTCTGTGGTTTGTGATGGCACCAACGCTACACATTTGGAGACCTCTCTGAGCCAACATGTGTCACAGGCCATTCGTTGACATAACGAAATGTTCCTTCCCAGTGTCCCTTAGCTATTTTCCAAGGAGCTCTCACTGACCAGGTGAGTTTCCATATCCTCCAACCTCCAACTATCCCCATTTCTGTTTGCACCAAACAACCAGTCAAGAGAGCAGACTTCCTCCTTCCCTCTTACAGAGGGACATCTGTTATTCAGAACAAAATATGATGCTGCCGTGTTATTTAATCAAGACAAAATTCATAGGCAGCATCTGTGCAGAAGATAAAATGTTTTGGGACAGTTTAGTCCTTTTCTTATCTGAGCGTCTGAGTGATTGCGGTTATGTAAAGACTTCTCTTTCAAACACGGAGATGGAGTTTCATAAGCAAGGGACCAAAATAGTGCCAGGTAGCCAACCATCTCCCCTTGATCACACTGGATTAGTACAATTAATCTGCAGGTATTAGTGACCAGCAGGGTTTTGACTGGAAAATATAATATATATTTATTATTTCATATCTGGTTTCCCCTAAGAGGCAGAAAATTCAATCCTGGCCTTTTCTCTTCATCATTACATTCTTGTAAAGAGGGTTGTGGGATTTGGAAAATTACTGAGGGGCTCCTGATGAGAGGGGGGAGCATTAGCAATGGGAGGAACGAGACCTGTGCCCATTTCTTAGTCTTCTGAGAATGAGGCGATTGGAAATTGCTCGATGGATGAGTGCAAACTGGTGTGGGACATCAGCCAGGGCCTGCTGGGGTTGGTGGGAGGGCAGCAAATATCCATCAGTATAACCAGCCCTAAAGGCACTTTCAATACTGCTATGGCTGCCTAACACTGGAGGAAACCACAGCTCAAAAATATGGAATTATTTACCTGGGAGACCAGGAATCCTTATTCTTATACTCCTGTCCAGTTACTGTAACAGTGTGTCTCATAGAAATACCCCTTTCACTACTATAAGCCC